TGGGGGGGGGGAGTCAGCGGGTGCGCGGGAGAACCTTGTTTTGAACTTGCACTCACAGAGCCGTCCTCCGCCTTGCGTCTCTCTCGCCGCTCGTCGGAGTCCCTCGGTGGCGCCCCGGTCGGGCCTTCGGAGGGAGGCGACACGATGAGCGTCGCCGTGACGCGCGCGACGCCGATAAGTCTTGCGCGGCCGGGTTATTGATTAGTCAGAGGAAGAGCCGGTTCGCGGGGGACTTTGGTCCGACTCCCGTACGCTGACGGATTGGTGGCAATTTATGAGCGCCGCGGTCAGGTCGCGAACGTCGGCGCGCGAAATGACGTGTCGTGGCCGCGATGGAAGCCTTTGCGTTGGTCGTGGAGGAATTCGTGAAATGGAGAAAGAAGACTTTGGGACGTACCTGAGCGCTCGATGGGCTCAACCTGCGCGGCGGTCACCTTTGACGGCCGCTCCGCCGAAGGCGTTGCGGAGCGGAGGCCGGACTCCCCCGCGGACTGTCCGGAGCCCCCGCGCTCTCCGGGTTCCCTGGAGCGTCTGGACTCCCGGAGCTCCCGCTCTCGCAGCAGAGCCTCTTCGATCTCCTTCTCAATGAAATCCGAGGCACTCTTTTTCCTGCGCTGCAAGCCGGCGGACTCCCGCTTTGAGCGCCAAGAAACGGTTGCGGTCCGCGACGGGACATGGCGAGGGGGCGTGCTCGGGGGCGGGGCGGAGGAGGTTTCTCGGGAGTGTCGGTGAGGACAGCAAGGGGGCCAAAGTACCTCCTGGTCCTCCCGGACTTGCTCCCGTGGGTCTCCAAGCTCCCGCGGAGCCTTCCGACTGACGTCGTTCTCGTGGCTTTGGAGCTGAAGCGCGAAGCTCCCGCGGCTCTTCTTTTGGGCCTCGCGAGGACTCGGCAGCCAGCGCGCACGCCCGCTTTGAATCTCCACCGGCTCCGAGAATCCGTCGGCGCGCTTCAGGCCTCGCGCGCGTCTGAGGTTTTCCTCCCGTTCTCCAACGAGGCGGATGTCCTTCTCGATCGGGGTCTCGTCGCGATCGTCCGACTCGGCTTTCCCGGTTGTTTGCGGAACGCCGTCATCAAACGCGTCTTCGCCGCCGACGGAGCGAGGGCGCGCCTCCGCGG